AGTATTAGCCCAAGAGACAGAAGGGGCCACATAAACCAGAGACTTCATCAGCCTGAGACCAGAAGAACCAGATGGTGCCCGGCTATCATCAATGATTGCCCTGACAGGGAACACAACAGAGAGTCCCAGATGGAGCAGGAGAAAGGTGGGGTGCAGAACTCAAATTCTAGTAAGAAGACCAGACTTAATGGTCTGACTGAGCCTGGAGGAACCCTGGAAAGCATGGCCCCTGGATTCCCTATCAGCCCAGAATTAAAACAGTTTCCGAGGCCAACTCTTCAGGCAGGGGTTGGACTGGACTGTGGGACATAAAGTGATACTCGTGAGGAGTGTGTCTCTTTGTTAAAGTAGATATAAGAGACTAAACTGGCAGCTTCTGTCCAGAGGTGAGATGGGAAGGCAGAGAGGGTTAGGAGCTGGTTGAATGGAGATGGGGAATCAGGGGTGGAAAGGAGGAGTGTGCTGTCACAGTATGGGGAGAGTATGGGTCACATAACAATGTACGTATAAATTTTTTTAAAAAGATTTTAAAAAAATCCATAGCCTCAATAGAATCATGAGAAAACAGTAGACAAAGTCAAATTGAGGGATATTCTATAAAATGCCTGGCCAGTACTCTTCAAGATAGTAAAGGTCATGAAAGACAAGGAGAGACCAAGAAAAAATTGTAGTAAACCATGAAAACATAAAGACCAAATGCAATGTGGGATACTGAATTGAACCCTGGAACAGAAAAGAGGACATTAGTGGGAAAGTCTAAAGTTTAGTTAATAGCGTTGAACCTCTTTTATTCTCCTAGTTTGTTAATTGTACTATAGTTATGTTAGATCTTGACATTAGAAGAAACTGAATGAAGGGTAATGAAAAACTCTTATCTTTGCAATTCTTCAGTAAATCTAAAATTATCTAAAAATTAAAAAATCTTTTCAGGTACATAAGTTGATAGGACATTATTTCAATGACTTTATTATTTAAATAGGATGCCTTCATTTTTAAATTCATTGCACTTCTATAGAGAGCTTCCAAAGTTTTCAAAAAACAAAATAAAAATTGCCTCATACGTTTACCACCTTGGTAGTTCTTTAATAGCTTGGCTTTCTCATCTTTTTATGATTTATGAAGTACTTTTACATCCACTTTCTCACCTAGTCCTTACAACAAATACTGAGATAGACAAAAGAAGAGTCATTAATGGTTATCAAGGATAAGAAAAATGGTAACCAGAAAGTATAAGAGATTTAACTTGTGATATAAGTTAGTGACAGAATCTTGATTAGAACCTGGTTCAGAGCAATTCAACAACACTTACAAAAAATTACCTTCCACACTGGGTAAGACCGAAACTCTCAGACACGGTGATGAACAGATTTGAAGATTCTTTGCACCCAATCAAGGACCCCTGATGGTGCAGTGATTAAAGCACTGGGCTGCTAACCAAAAGGTTGGCAGTTTGAACCCACCAGCCTTGGAAAGCCTATGGGGCAGTTCTACTCTGTCCTACAAGGTCACTATGAGTCGGGATTGACTCAATGGCAATAAGTTTGATTTTTGGTTTTTGTGTCTGATCATTGTTGGTAAGATTCTCCCATTTAATATGCATGTGGGGTAAGTTCATGTTAGTGGTCTTCACTCTTTCCAGAGTGAAGATTACATTTTTGTATGTATGCATGCATGTATGTTTGCATTTAGATAGATACAATCTCAACAGAATAGAGATACAGTTTCCATAACCTTTGATTCTAAAAGTACATCAAAAAACCAAACCAAACCTGTTGCCGTCCAGTCGATTGCAACTTATAGCAACCCTATAGGACAGAGTAGAACTGCCGTATAGGATTTCCAAGGAGGGGCTCGTACATTCAAACTGCCGACCTTGTGGTTAGCTGCCAAGCTCTTAAGTACTGTGCCATAATTTTTTCTCAGTCTTCAAAGTATGAAGCATGTATTGATTCTGCAATAAACCCTCCCAGGACAAAGTTTGGGAATATTAGTTAAGTATTCAAACACAAAAAAGTCTCGATAATCTAATCTGTTTGGGAAAAGAGTGCTATACAAGTAACAAAGTTGACATATATCTTAATTTTGATAGCAATTTCCAAATTGAAGTAAAATAAAATACAATAAACAGGAAACAGTGCTAAAATAAAAAATTCCTCTTCCTTTGATGTTTCGGAACTTTCTTTGATATATTTATTACCTTGACATCAGTATGAACAAAACTTAATCTTATGTAGAAGAATAAATTGTCTTACACAGAAAAACAATGAGGTATAGCTGAAAGCAGTTAAACTTAGGAAGGACAGACTGTATTCAACCTGGCTCTGCCTTCTACCTTCTGTGCAAACTTGAGCAAGTTGCTTAAACTCTCTGAGCTGGTTTATCATTTGATAAGCTGAGAGCATGTATCATTTGTCTGTAGAGTTCTCTTTTAACCTGGAGAAGTTAGTTTCATGCCAGTGCCAATGATCATTTCAGAGTTTCTCTAACCCTTCTGTGCAAAGCTGATCACAGGACAGGTGTTAAATCAACTTTTCTAAAGAGAACAGGTTCTCCTGGGAAGATTTGGACTGATATCTTTCAATCTCTTTCTGAGACTCAGAGTAAAGAAAATTTATTGGCATAAACTAAGGCAGCCCTGAGAATTACCAGGGACAAAAAAGGACAAGAAGGGTCTGAAGATAATTTACATAGATGAAAAAGAGAAGGAAGGCTGTTGGACAAGATTTAAACAGGCATTCTTAACCTGGGGTATCATGAATAGAATTCAGGTGGTCCGTATATTTGAATAGAGAAAAACGTGGTTTTAACTGAAATTGAGCATTACTTTCCATTGTGAATGTAGGACATAAACCATATAAACTTTAGTATGATTAGCAGTATTTAAGACTTTGTCACCAATAGAAATCACAAATAATTTTCTCTCATACTACACTTGTTTCAGATGTCCCCAAACATTGTTTATATTCATTACTGAAAGTGTAGTAGCTATTAGCAACACCACTAGATGTGTTATATTACGCATTATATAATAAAAAGCTTCTATATCAAACATTTAATCAATGCACTTCAATATACTGGTTTCTTTAATAATTCTATGTATTTTATTTTGTGCATTTAGAAAATATTTTGAGAAGGGATTCGGAGGCTCCAACAGAGTGCCAAAAGTGTCTATAGTACAAAAACATGTTTAGAACCCCCGGTTTACAACTAGGGGCTAAGCTTCCAGGACAGCTGCTTTGGTTATGCTGTTGCTGACTCCCAGCCCACTGTTAGTGTTTTGGGAAATAATGCTGAACGTGGCAGTGTAGACTGAAGAGGAAGCCCTAGGCGAGGATGCAGGGTCACGCAACTATGGCCCTGAGAAGGTGAAAACAGTCTTTGTGGGAAGGAGAAAACCCTTTTTTTTCACTGGATACCATATGGCAGCCAAAAATGTTCCAGTCTTCTCCCTATTTGGAAAGAGAAGTTGAACTGACCATCCTCTTAGATAAAATAAAGGCCAAGGTTTCTTTTTGGAAATAAAATGTTAGGGAAGCACCAGAGAAGAATCACTGGACTTCATACCAAAAGCGAGTCACTGTATTTCATTCCAGAAGGGCAGCTGGGGGAGCCCTGGTGACACAGTGGTTAAGAGCTTGGCTGCTAATCAAAAGATCGGCAGTTCAAATCCACCAGCAGCTCCTTGGAAACCCTACGGGGCAGTTCTACTCTGTCTTATAATTCTGTATTTCCAGCTTGCTTCAAATTCGGCAAGGATTCATTCTATTTTTTTCATTTAGCCTTGTGTTTCCTATCATGGTATATATCCTAACATAGTGCCTGGCACACAATAAGCACTCAAGAAATGTCTGCTGAATTAAGTTAAAAAGACTCCAGACATTTTTGTGCAATCGATCAATTCCATCCCCTGGCTTCTTCCAATATATATTGTATATTCTTCAAACCAATATTTAGAACAACAATTAGATTACAAACATAATGTTCCTAATGGGTGGGACGTTTTAACCAGCATTGCCCTTTTTTTTTTTTCTTGCCATGTCATTGCAGCGCCTTGAGCAGGCAGCCAGTTTCACATACAGAACAATCCCTCTGTTCTTATCAACCTCCCACAGCCTGAGAAGCCCTCAGTGTGCCTCTGGCCTTTGCCACAAACATGAGGTTCAAATTCCCTCTAATGGCCATTGGCCTGGAGGTTGCCATGATTGTTTTATTTGGAGTATTTGTTCAGTATGAAAATGTTCAGAACAGTGGTCAGCCATCCAACACCTCCTCGCCAGCAGTCATGAACTCATTCTTTCGGCTGTATCCTTGTAAGTAAGCAATCTACTTATTATATATTTTGGGTTCTTCAGCTTCTTAGAAAATGCATTCTTTAAATACTGTAACCACTTGAGCTCCACGTATAATCTCTGTGTAGAATTAGGCAATAGTTCTATGTTTCTGCTCTGGTATCTGGTCTTCTTCTCTCTATTATTATGTGTTTGGATAGAATCTGCTTCTATTCAGATATTAGAATAAGAAACCGAAAATTAAAACAATTGGTCAATATTTTGTGTTGTCTACCTACTGCTAAAGAATTTTTTTTCTTGATCATTAATTCTGTAAGATATAGAAAAATGTTTCACACACATAAAATCCAAAGGGAACTTAGGAAGACAGAATGGAAACAAAATAGACTGGTGAGAGAGAAGAGCCTGGATTTCCTGTGGGGATTCTAGCGCATGAGAAGGGGTGTTTAGAGTCATAAAGGAAGTTAATAGAGTTTTAGTTGAAAAGGAATACTCTTGGGGTTTTATAACATTCTAAAGGAAACACAATTTTTTTCCTCTGATATAAGAAAAAAAAAAAAGGTGTGAGCACCTAAACGTATATTAGAAGAAGAATCCTTCCCTAGGAATGGTGACTGAGGGAAAGGAGGGATTTAGTTTCAAGTTTGGAATGGCAGGTTGTAAAATATTTCATATGACAATACTAATTACCATTTACTGAGTGCCTGTTATGATCCAGGCACTTTCATTACTTTGTTAACCAGGGAGGGAGGTAGTAATACATCCCTTATTACAGAGGTGGTTTGTTTTGTTTTGTTTTTTTTAATTAAATGAGATAAATAATTTAAATGTTTTAATATCAAAAATTGTAGCAATATTTATTTTAATTTTATAGCATATGTGTAAGGCTTTTTAAAAATAATTTGCTACGTGTTTTATCGTTCCTACAGCTTTTTGAGGGAGTTAATGTAATTATTATCCATATGTTAGCCACAATTATGATCTAGAGAGGCCAAATGACTTAGTCAAAAAGTACAATGGCAAGTTAAGGGCAGAGTTAACATCATAACTCAGAAACTCAGACTCCAACTCTAGTTCTCTTTACACTTCATAGATGTCCAAGAGCATCTTTGATCAAGTATGTTTTATAATTTCAAAGTTAGTGATCACTTGAACAGAACAGAATTCTGTTTTAAGTTCAACCCTGCATGATTTTGCACATTTCATTTATTCATCCATTTGTTTATTTAATCAACATTTTTGTTAAGTACCAAACATGTGCTACATCAAACTTATTCAAAGATAAAACAAACACCATCCCTTTATTCTAAGATCTAACTGGTACACGTGTCAACAAAGGACCAGCCACCCTATGATTCCTACCTTCAGACTTGCATTCACTTCCTTCTGAAAGAGTGCCTGACTGACTGGCAGCGTTCTCTCAAAGTCTAAAGTCTTTTTGAATAAATAATAAGCAAGCACACAGAGTAAGCAGACAACCATATAAACCAAATGAAATATAATAAGAGGAATATGCACAATGTTATTCATCATCCTACTCATAACAACCCCGTAGCTGTAGGTTGGAATTGACGGCAATGGCTTTTTTTACTATACTAATGAAGGAGCCCTGGTGGTGCAGTGGTTAAGAGCTCCACTGCTAACCAAAAGGTGGGCAGTTTGAATCCACCAGCCGCTCCTTGTAAACCCTATGGGGCAGTTCTACTCTGCCCTATAGGGTTGCCGCGAGTCAGAATCAATTCAAGGGCAACGAGTTTGTTTTTTTTTTCTTTTTGTATACTCATGAAAGGGATGATGATGATGATAATTGTATCCTGGCAGGTTCTGGTTCCCAATCTCAAATCCAAATCCCTTCTTAGAAGCAGATTTAGCACAAATTTTAAATCATAATAAAAGCCACTATTAATGATTGCTTTGTTCTAGGCACTGTGCTAACTCAATTTGCATTTATTTTCTAATCCTCAAAGTAACCCTGAATATAGATGTTAAGAAGAAACACCTGTGATGAAATTGAGTTTTGTGTTTTTTGTTGTTTTTTTTAGGGAGATTAAGCAATTTGCCCAAGGTCAAATATTTAGTAAATGAAAGAGTTCAGTGGGATTCTCAGTTTATCTGCCTCCAAAATCTGTGCTTTAATCACTACATTTTATGGGCAGCATTGTTCATCAGGTAGAAATTTAGGCTACATCTGTCTACATGGACTCATAGTCTCCAACAGATTTATCAAAACGTTTTTGACCCCTGCTAACATCAATCAACTTTGAAAGGACAAGAATATATTGTTTGTGGGATAATGAGTTTACTCAGTGAAAACAAGATGAGCCATCATAATTCCTTGTACTCTGAACAAATTTTAGCATTCAAAGCAAATGATGAAGGTTCCCAAGATAAGGCACTGTGGATTTTATATATATATACACATACATATAGAGGAGCCCTGGTGGCAAGGTGGTTAAGAGTTACAGCTGCTAACCAAAAGTTCTGAAGTTTGAATCCACCAGTTGCTCTTTGGAAACCCTATGGGGCAGTTCTACTCTGTCCTATAGGGTCACTATGAGTCAGAATTGACTCGACAGCAACTGGTTTGGTTTTATATAGTGAAATATGTATACAGGTGATACATTTCCTTACGAAACTGACTAAAGGAGCTTTTCATAAGCATCATCAACTAACAGGCAAAGAGGCAGGTTTGGCTATTTTGAAAATGCTAAAAATTGTGATATTCCTTAAGACTGATCTTAAATGTGATAGTCTTCTTAATACATACCAATACTAAAACATAAAAGATAATTGAGTGTTATATATGCCCCAGGATTTTATGTGTTTAATCTTTATCTATTTAGTATGTACTATGTCCCAGGTGTGGGAGAAGGATGTATGTGGTAGTCTGCTTCTGTAAAGATTTACAGCTTTGGAAAGCCTGTAGGGCAGTTCTACTCTGTCGTATAGGGTCGCCGAGAGTTGGGATCAATTTGATGGCCAACGGGTTTGGTTTGTTTTTTATGTCCCAGGTACATTAGGAGGTAAATAAAACAAAGGCCTTGCCCTAATGGAGCCTTATAGGATGACGTGATTTCTATTTTATAGATAAGGAAACTGAGGCTCAGGGAGATTGGTCTGTTATCCAAGAGCGTACAACAAGTAAATAACTGAAGTGAAATATGAATTACTAATTATCATAGAGCTAAAGCAGTGTTCTATGTTTAATAACTTGTTTTATTTTATTTTTTGTCATTGAGAATATACATAGCAAAAACATACACCAATTCCAGTTTCTGCATGTACATTTCAGTGACATTGATTACATTCTTCAGGCAATTCTTATCCTCCTTTTCTGAGTGTTCCTTCACCCTTAATGTAAACTCTCTGTCCCCTAAGGTTCCTATGTAATCTTTTAAGTTGCTATTGTCAATTTGATCCCATGTAGATAGATCTTAAAAGAGCATAATGCTCAAGGCAGACATTCTTTACTAGTGAAGCTAAACTATTGTTTGGTTTTAAGAAGATTTAAGGGGATATTTTCAGTTTAAGGCTTAAAGATTATCTCAGAGCAATAGTTTTTGGGGATCTTGATCAGTGCGATGCTTCCCTAAAATGTGAAGGGCCCAAATGTGTTTCAGCCAGGAGACTGGAATTGGGAGAACCTTGTAGGATTCTAATATCTTGAGTTTTTTTTTTTTATGTCATTCAGTATCCCCATTCATTTTCTGTTAGCAATTTTCAGGAAAATTCTTGAAATAAAAATACTGTGTACTATGGTCTTAGGGCATAGCAAGGAAGAGGAGAAGGAAGCAAGGAAAACTAGAAACCTGATTCCCTTCCCCTTCCATCTTGGCTCAAAACAGAGTTCAAAATTTGCTCCATTAAAGCAGAAAATCTATTTATATCCGGCTAGTGTTTTCTCCTTTGGTCTAAAACATTTACAGAAAAGGAAAGCTGTATAGTGCTCTGAAATCCTTAAAGGCACAATCTGATTTAGACCAGCATTCCTCAACAGCCGCACCATTCACATTTTAAACCAGAATATTCTTTGTTGAGGGCGCTGTCCTGTGGATTGTGGATGTTCAGCAGCATCCCTGGCCTCCCAGCAGCACCACCCGCCAACCAAAAATGTCTCCAGACATTGCCAAATATTCTCCTGGGGACAAAACTAACCTTTGTTGAAAATCACTGATCCTTAAAACCGATTGGATGAACTCCCCAAAGTTCAAACTACTAAAAACAAAATCCCTTTTTCCTCTACAAAAAGGGTATTTTAACCATTTAATAGCAGAGCCTTGTACCACAAAACTAAATGTGTGATCCTTTCCCTGGCCCCCCACCCACAAATTCTTAGATAGGAATGGAAATATAATGCATAATCCTAATTGTCTATAAATCTTTTATCCATATCTTTTATAAGGAATCATTATTTGTCAAGAGCATTTCACTTCAATTTGTAAGTTTTCCTTAGCAACTTGAATAGTAGAGGAGGTTTTACACCCCCTTGTGGTGAAAAGCAGTAACTAAAATTAGATCAAAGGAAAAAAAAAAACACTGAAGCACAGTTAATAAATGAAATTCTTCCCACCATATAAAAAAACCAAACCTGTTGCCCTTACGGAAGCAGACTGCCACATCTTTCTCCCGCGGAGCGGCTGGTGGATTCAAACACCAACCTTTCAGTTTGCGACCAAGCACTTTAACCACTGTGCCACCAGGGCTCCCCACCATATAAAGTGTCTGGTTTTTCCTGAAAGAGGGAGGAGGTCAGAAACTGAAGAATTTTTACTTCCGCGTGAGACATCACAAGATTAGTGTTTGCTGTTTTTTTTTTTTATTTTATTTTTAAAATTAGTTGATGCTTCGAAATTAGTTAATTACTGCCCACTTTGAATGTAGTTGATAATAGGAGGAACAACAGCACTTTAAGAAAAAATAAAATAACGGGTTTAGGAAAATAACAGGATGTGATAAAAATAAAAAAAGTGAAGTCAAGTAAAACTGCCTTCTTATTTTTATTCTAGCTTTGTGACGATACACAAACCATTTAACTTCTTTGGGTCTTAGGGCCCAAATACAAAAGCAAAACAAAATCCAATAAATGAACTGTAGAACTAGAAGACATTTTGTACTGCTTCTAATCCAAACATTCCTTTAAAGAGGAGAAAATTTAGTCCGGAGATGCTTAGAAAAATAATTAACCAGTTAACCAGTTACCTTCAAGTCAGAATCGATTCATGGAGACTCCATGCGTGCAGAGTAGAACTGTGCTCCATAGGGTTCTCAGTGGCCGACTCTTCAGAAGTAGATCACCAGGTCTTTCTTCCAAGGGGCCCCTGGGTAGACTCAAACCTCTAACCTTTTGGTTAGCATCCAGGCACATTTGCACCACCCAGCTAGCCAATAACAGCCATCATATCCTCTAAGATTCCCTTCATTTAGTCTATGATCTAAATCAAGTGTTTACATATTGAAATTGGTGGCAAAATAATTTAAAAAGAAAAATGAAGATATATGGTCACATATATTTCAAAAACCAAAGCAGAAATAAATGAGTTGAGGTTGGTGGTTAGTGTTGCTGATCTCCTATCAGCGGGTAGAATAAAACCCCAATGTTGCAGGTGCCTGGGTAGGTATGGTTCAAGGAGGGACATCCAGAACACTGCCGTATGTAAGACTTGCTGCCGGTCTGTTGCTTCACTAAATGGAGACTGTGCAGCCTTCTTCCCTCCAAGAGTTCCCTCACAGCTGCTGACAAGGGCGGATTTTTCAGATATCTGCTGTTTCCTTTCTTACTCTCCTCACAGCTCCTCTTAGGAAGAGATTCTGATGAACAATACTGTGGCCAAAAGGCCTAGTGTACGGATGGGGTCAAAAAAGTTAACAGTACTATAATGTGTGCCTGAATCATGAAGAGTTTGGTCTAGTTTTCTCAGGTTCTTCATTCTTATCTTTGCTGCACTCACACAAATGTTAGACTGGCTTATAGATCATCTGAAGGAGGGATCTGGGCAGTACATCAGAGTGCCCACTAAACAGGCAAGCCTGAGTGGGGTGCCGTAACCTCCCAGCCTCAATCACACTGCCACCTAAGTCTGGTGGTAGAACAGAGGCAAGAGAGGATCTAAGGGGTAGTAACATGTTATCTGTATGCCAGAACTCTACTTCGTTTATCTTTATAACCCCACCCATAAAAAAACACCTGTACCCGTCAAGTCCATTCCGACTCATAGTGACCCTACAGGATGGAGTAGAACTGCCCCATAGGGTTTCCAAGGCTGTAAATCTTTAAGGAAAAGCAAACTGCCACATCTTTCTCCCACGGAGTGGCTGGTAGGTTCAAGCTCTCAGCCTTTTTGTTAGCAGCCGAGCACTAAACCACTGCACTACGAGGGCTCCTTTATAGTCCCAAACTGTTGTCGTCAAGTCGATTCTGACACATAGCAACCCCATAAGACGGTAGGACTGCTCCATAGGATTTCCAAGGAACGGCTGGTAAGTTCGAACTGCTGACCTTTTGGTTAGCAGCCAAGCTCTTAACCATTGCGCCACCAGGGCTTCCCTTTTATATTCCCACAGTGCTTAACAAATGGAAAACTCAATGGAGTCAGGCCTGAATTAAATCCCTGACTCCATCTTTTAGATAAATTAATTGGCTTCTCTAATGTCAGTTTCCTCTGGGACATTTTTCCAAGCCTGTCCGTCCCACTACCCATTTCCACTTAAACCTCTGGCCACAATAAAAAAAAAAAAACTAAATACAAACACGTTGCCGTCAAGTTGATTCCAACTCATAGCAACCCTATGGGACAGAGTAGAACTGCCCCATAGGGTTTCCAAGGAGCAACTGGTGGATTCGAACTGCTGACTTTTTGATTAGTAGCCATAGCTCTTAACTACTACACCAGCAGGGTTTCCACAATGATTAAGGCTAATTCAACACTTGAATGTTCTTTTTCTCTCTCTCTGGTTTTGTATTTATTTCCAATTGGGCCTCAATTCACTTTGTGTATCCATTAGGATGAATCATATGAAATTGCCAATAGTTAAACATTTTCCACTTGCAAAATTGGTAATTTTATACGGATCAACTAAATATATGTCTCACCATTTAAGCTGTAAGCTTCCTAAGGGAAGAGCCTGTATTTCCTCCATCTTACATTTGATTATGTTTTACTCGTATAGTGCTTTACTGCATACAAATCCTCCCACTCAGGTAATCTCACTCAGAGTAACCCTGTGAAATATGGCCTTTTTAATCAGGCAGATGAGAACACTTAAACTCAAAGAGAATAACTGACTTGCCCAAGGTCACACAATTATGTATTGTAATTGGGGCATTTGAACCCAAGCCTTCTGACACCAAGTCTAATAATATTCTTTCCCCAATAAGATAGCTACCTTTCATATGTTTGTTTGGTGCTTTGTGGTTTGTAAAGTGCTAACAAAGACATTATCCCGTTTGCTTCGAAATAATGATCTGGTTAGTTTTCTAGGACTGGTATTATTTATTATCCACATTTTGTAGATGGAGACCTTAGCTCATTCATGTATTCGTTCATCCATCAAACACTTACTGTCTCTCCTCCTACATGAAGACCATTATGGAAAATTCTAGGGAGTAAAGGATAGATATGATCTAATCCCTTCGATCAGAAAATTCACAATCTTGTGCAGGAGATGGATGCCTCATCAATTACAAAAAACTGTTACAGTGTGATGCACACTAAGTAAATGCTAATACAATGTGTCAAATGCTAAAGCTGACATATATTCAGAAAGTTTATGTGAAAAACAAAAAGAAACATTAATTTTCTCTGGGAGTAATAGGGAAGTCTGCAACAGGAGGTGATACTTGAACTGTGAGCTACAAAGATGCCCTTGAGTGGAAAGTAATGAAAACCTCTTCATCTAAGGGGTAGAGAAGATCAAAGTCACACTGGTATGACAGTGCATAACACATCAGGAAAAGGCTCAAATACTGAATAACATTCCCAAGGTCTCACGGCTGGTAAGTAGCTAAGCTGTCACTAGAACCCAGCCTTTTGCCTCCCAGTTAATGCTCTCCTTTTGCAGTGATTTATACAAAGGTAGCAGCGTCTGCTAAATGGGATAGAATGTGATGGAACAACTTCTTAACGGGCAGTGGTGGTTCAGTGGTAGAATTCTCAACTTCCTTGTAGGAGATATAGGTTTGATTCCCAGCCAATGCACCTCATGTGCAGCCACCACCCACCTATCAGTGGAAGCTTGCGTGTTGCTGTGATATTGTGTAAGTTTCAGCTTCCAGACTAAGACGGACTACGAAGAAAGGCCTCGTGATCTGCTTTCAAAAATCAGCCAGTGAAAACCCATGGATCACAGTAGTCTGATCTGCAAACATCAGCCACGGGGATGGCACAGGACCGGGCAGCATTTCATTCCATTGTACATGGGGTCGCCATGAGTCTGGGGCTAACAACAACAACAAAACACCTTCTTAGCGTTCATCTAACACAGATTTGTTTTTCCTCTGCTCTTTTCCAGTGTTCCAACATGTGAATGTTATGATATTCGTTGGGTTTGGCTTCCTCATGACTTTCCTGAAGAAATATGGCTTCAGCAGTGTGGGCTTCAACTTTTTTATTGCTGCTCTGGGCCTCCAATGGGGTACAATAATACAGGGGCTCCTAAACGACCATGGAGAGAAATTTCACATTAGCATTCACAGGTAAGCATCCTTTATTTTTTAGCCATGGTGCTTTCAGAGCAATTGTTGCTCTGCTTAGTCCTTTGTCATTCAGGCTCTGAACTGGCTGGAAAATCGTCTCTCTTTGGTAACAGAAAATTGTTGGAATCAAAGGGTCTAAATCAATGCCTTGCTCTACTGAGCTGAATCATATATTCATGTCTGTGACCTCTCTGGTTTGCCTTTAAGGGTACAAGAAATTCCCTTCATAAAGTTATTTCTTCCTTCTCAGCTACAGGGAGACAAAAATTTCCCATTAGTTATTTTTCTAAGATTGTGTTTTAAATATAAATATATGTTCTTGTTGTTGTGCAACAGTAAACCATCATTCTGGAAAATAATTCATTTACCAGATCAACCAAAAGTAAACTAAAACTCTAAAATAAAAAGATAAAGGACAGGTAAGTAAAAATAAAGGAAATGTTTAGAGCAGTGAAACAGTATATGGTGAGAAGAAGAGAGGAGGAGTGAGGAAGTTCAGGGGGAATTAGAGCAGACCTGGGCAAAGCACCTGATGGGACACTGATGGAGCAAGGGACCTTAAATGCTGGGTAAGATGATGCTATATTTCATTACAGAGTCCCTGGGTAGAGCAAACAGTTAAAGCAATTGGTTGCTAATCAGAAGGTTGGAAATTCAAATCCACCCAGAGGTCAGAAGAAAGGCTTGGAGATCTACTTCTGAAAAGTCAGCTACTGAAAACTCTATGGAGCACAGTTCTATTCTTATACACCTGGGGTCACCACGAGTCAAAATCAACTCTACAGCAATTGGTTAATAGTTCATTACAGCTTACAATTTTATTTTCGGTATGCATTGTTCTTCATTTTATTCTTTCTTTTTCCCTCAGCCTGATAAGTGCAGACTTCAGCACAACTACAGTTTTGGTTTCTTTTGGAGCTGTCCTGGGAAAAATAAGTCCAATCCAAGTGCTGATCATGACGATTTTAGAAATTGCCGTCTTTAATGGCAATGAATATCTTTTTGCTGAGATATTCCAGGTAAGAGTTAAAGGATGTATACTTCTCTGGGTTTGGGCATCAGTTCAGGCCACAACATATAATAAGTGCCTACTTTATGCAGGGATAAACCCTTATCTGACACCAGAACTTAAAGTTTGGTGAAAGTGATTCCACAGCAAATAGTAAGAATTAGCCATAATTTATTGAGTGCTGATTGTATACTAGGAGTTTTATAAATATTACCTTATTTCAGCTTCACAACAACACTGTAATGTAGGTTTTATTGTTGTTACCATTTATACACAAGGAAACTGATAATCACAGATTTTGCTGAATCTGCATTCAAACCTAGATTTTTTCTAGCTTTACAACTCTTTTCACTGCGCTGTGTTGCCTACCAATGAGCCGTTCCTATTTATAGTTTAACTACTAGGGAAGTAGTAGGGCTTTTGCTAATGCCCATGTCAAATTTCTTCTCTATGAAAATCCCACTGATTCCCCCAAGGACAATGAATAGAATACTTCTGTCCACTCTCCAGGATTTTGCTTATACCTCTATTGAACATTTAATTCAACAGCAAATATTTTTGACAACTTTCTAGTGATCAGTGGTGAACCAAATAATTTTGGTGTCTGTCTTTATAGAGCTTACAGCCTAGTGGAAGAGACAGACATCAACTAAACAATCACAAATAAAAAAGAATGTAATTATTATTACGTTTTGTAATATATGCGATGAAAAATAAGTAGAGGAATTTATGAGAGACTATAACTGGAAGACCTAATTTCAATGGTGAATTCAAGGAGGGCCTCTCTGAGCTCGACCTGAAAGATGTGTCAGAGTTAATCAAACAAAAATGGGGAGAAAAGCACTTTAAGGCAAGGTAACAGCAAGTACAGAGTTTTGGATTGGTAATGAGGAACTAAAAGAAAGTCAATATGGCTTGAGCAAGGAGAAAGGAGTTGACTCCTACTAGATGGAGACACCAAGTAAGTAGGCCAGATAAACAAAGACCCTGTAGACTATGTGTGTTGGCTGGATTAAGACTAATTTGGCTGTTCCGGAGGAAGAAACAGAGCAGGTTCTTTTGCCTACAAGTCTGTGAGCATTTAAAGAGAGACACAAACACACATGCTATTTGTAAAGTTCAAGCATGACTAATGCCTACCTCCCACCTTCTTGAAACCACCTCTTATGGTGAAACAAAGCAAGGTTCTCCAATCTGGGAAGGGGCTAATCATGGCTGGGCGGCTAAAGGTTGCTGGAAGGAGTCACATTTCCTGAAATGGTGCTTGGTATCATTCCAACAGAGTGTGGATCTTCAAGGGTAGTATCTCTGTCCATTTCTAGTCATAAAAGAAAAAACAACCAGGAGACTCTTTTCACTTCAGTTTGAACCAATTTGAAAGCTTTAAATAAATTTGTATCATTTCCCTGCATCACTAAGTACAGAGCACAAAACAGTCCTGTAGAGGCAGAAAATGTAGAAAACTGGGCAAAATCCATCCTATGTCTTAAAGAGAGACCTTAAATCTCTTTCTTTAAATGAATTCTGGGCATCAGCTGGTTTTTATGTCATTATACAGCAAAGCAGAAAAAGAAATGGGAAAAACTGGCTTTCTGACACTTCAGCTCTTTGAATTGCATTTAAGTGAGCTTTAACCATGCTATGTCAAGTGAATGCAAATAATCTTTATTAAGTATCAAGTGCAGTACCTAATATTTTTACCTAGGATTTCCGTAATCTGGAGAAGTAACCTGTCTTGGTCATCTAGTGCTGCTATAACAGAAATACCACAGGTGGATGGTTTTAACGAAGAGAAGTTTATTTCCTCACAGTCAAAGTAGGCTAAAAGTCCAAATTCAGGGCATCAGCTCCAGGGGAAGCCTTTTTCTCTCTGTCGGCCTTCTCTTCGGTGTCCCCCCGTACTAGGAGCTTCTCTAAGCAGGGACCCAGGTCCAAAGGGTGCTCTCTGCTCCTAGCATTGCTTTCTTGGTGGTATGAGGTCCCCCGCGTCTCACTGCTCACTTCTGTCTTTTATATCTCAAGAGATTGCCTCAGGACACCATCCAGTCTTGGAAATTGAGTCCTGCCTCACTAACACAACTGCTGCCCATCCTCCCTCATTAACATCACAGGGGCAGGATTTACCACACATGGGAAAATCACACAATACCAGGAATCATGGCCCAGCCAAACTGATACACACACTTTTGGGGGGACATAATTCAATCCATGACATAAGCTAAAATATGTTGCTTGCCCACCAATGACCTTAACACTCTACAAACATGGTCTCGTCTAAGTCTGATCACAACTATGTTAGATGGGTGATATTTCCGCATTTTTACAGAACTTGAGATTAAGAGAAATTTAGTAATTTGCCAAATTCACATCACAAGGAAGTAGCAGAGCTAGGATTGAAAGCCAGTTATGTGTACTCCAAAGCGTGTATTTTCCTTTTCACTGCCCTCTTTTATCCTCCTCTCTTTTTGGCTCTTAAAGTTTGAAAGCAATGAAGCAGTTCTTTCATTGACTGTACTCTTGTAGTGAGACTCAGTTTCACCTCTGTTTACATGAATGTTGTTTTGCCCCCTAGGCCACTGATATCGGGGGGTCAATGGTCATCCATGCCTTTGGAGCCTACTTTGGCTTGGCTGTAGCAGGCATCTTATATCGCTCTAACCAGATATGGGAGCATCACAACAAACAATCTGATATCCACTCGGACTTGTTTGCAATGATTGGTGAGTAGAAATGAACTTGCCTGATTCTTATCTATTTGGTTAGACACAAGGGAAGGTTAACACCATCACAGGTGTGAAGATATGCCAGGGAAACATCCTTGAATAGTTCTTTTTCTTAAATTAGCTCTCTGTTCCTCCTTTCCCCTTAGATGTTGTTAGCTGTCATGGAGTCAGCCGCCAATTCATGGCAACCCCATGAACAGTTGGATCAGACTGTTGCAATCCATAGGGTTTCATTGATTGATTTTACAGAGGTAAATTGCCAGGTCTTTCTTCCTATTGTCTTTGCTGAAAGCTATTCAGCATTCTAGCAGCACACAAGACTCCACTGACAGGTGCTGGTGGCTGTGCTTGAGATGGTTTAGCAAGGAATTGAACCCAGGTCTCTGGAATGGAAGGCAAGAATGCTACCAATGAACCACCACTGACTGCTCCTAACTATTAGATAATTAACTCTAAAAATAGAGACATCCTCAGTGGCTGAGGCAAATTGCATCCATCGGACTGTCTTTCATATTCAGAGCTAATATCCTTTTTGTGGTTTACTGCAGGGACTCTTTTCCTATGGATATTTTGGCCCAGCTTTAATTCTACCCTTGCTGTTCCTGAAGAAAAGCAGAACAGGGCCATCATAAACACCTACTTCTCTCTCGCTGCCTGTGTGCTCACATCCTATGCCTTCTCCAGTCTTGTTGAGCGTCGAGGCAAGCTCAGTATGGTAAGTGTCATATTAACTCCTGGGGAAATTTCGCTTAGCAATGCTGACATCATCGGATAAGTCAGTCATGCCTGCATCATTATTGAGATTTCAGGATAAATCAGAAACACTGCATACCTTGAAGAAATGTTTTGAAAACAGAAAAAAAAATTATGTATTCATTCATTTATTCATCAAATTTGCACTCTGGCAAATTACAAAGTATTCTCAAGTAATTAACATTCCATTTGGGAATATAGTTATGTAAAAAAAAAAAAAATCAAAGATTTGGGGAATATTTATTTAATGATAAAGCTAACTGCCTCCAAGCTCTTAGAAAATCTTCCTTAAGAAACAAGACTCTTCAAGAGTAAAAAGGAGAGTGGGGTGGTACAAATTCACTCTATTCTCTCCACTGCAAGTATTTCTCCTAAAGAAATAACAGCTAAATGAAACTGAGATACTGGATAGGATACTGGAACAGTAAAAGCACATTAGTGAGAAAATTGGGAAAGTTCGAATTAGGTCTTTAGTTAATAGTATTGTACCAATGCGAATTTCCTAGTTGTGTGGTTATGTAATATGTTAACATTGAGGAAAACTAGGTGAGGGATACATGAAAATTTTCTAGTATTTTTGTAACTTTTATGTAAGTCTAAAACTAATTCAAAATAAAAAGTTAAAAAAAAATTCTCTCCCAAGTTGGTGTTTTGAGATTCATACCAGTGAGCTAGAGAAATGCAGTGAAAGTGGAGTAATCCTCAGATCAGTCACTCCCCTTTTCTAACCTGGGAGAGGAAAAGGGTACTGTCATTTATTTTTTAATCTTGGTTAAAGACAAGTATTTCAATTCTCTACAAATTGTCTCAAGAGAGACAAATGGAAACAATGAAAAACAAAAATCGTATACACACAGCTCAGTGGTTGTCTGTTAAAAGTGCAGATAACTTTTCCTCCTCAGGCAAAACAGCCAGAATATGATTTTACTGAGGAAATCTGGTAAATGGAAATTAGTTCCCCTTTCCTCAGTACAGGAACACCTGAGAAAGAAGCTGTCTTTCTTATGTAAAGTGTAGCATTTCAAAGTGTCTGCACTCCCTCTTCGAATATTGTAATATAGTTGACTCTATAGGGCACACAGCAGTCATTGTGCTCATAATAACCACAAATGCCTCCCAAGAGCCTCATAAATAGGGAAAACACTGCTAGAATATTTGCTCTATGTGTGCCCCGGCTTCACACAATAACTTCTCCTTTTGATTTCCTCAAATCCCTCCCACCAGTGGTCTCATTAGACTGATTACTCATCCACTATCAAAGAATCTTGGGAAGAAAGATATCAAAATGTCAACTGTTTGGAAGAAAGACTTTCTGTAAATACAAAGAACTTTCTTAAAAACAAACAAACAAACTCAGTAGCTCTTTCATCTGAGAACATGCCATGAGATCCACTGGACTCTAGATTCCTATAATCGGCTCCTTCTGTACCCTGCTGCCTTCACCTCGCCTCACCCATGTTTCTGACCTCCACACAGGCTCACATTCAGAATGCAACCCTTGCTGGAGGAGTAGCTGTGGGCACTTGTGCAGACATGGAGATTAACCCGTATGGTTCCATGATCATTGGTAGTATTGCAGGAATCGTCTCTGTGATTGGGTTTAAGTTTCTGACTGTAAGTACTGAAGATCTTCCGAGTCAAACTTTGAATCTCCCCAGCACCATCTTCTCACCTCCCACCAGCAATGTAAAGCTAAGAAGTTTCCTTTTATAAGAACCTCCCATTGTTTGGGGGTCATTCAACTTCCTTTCTGAAATACTAGTCACATTTCAGTGGTCCAGTGGTTTCTACTCTTTCCTGATTTCCTCTGTGCCCAGGAAAGAATCCGATATCAGTTATTTATAACTTAGTATGAACTGAATATTAAGTACTTGTGTAACTTTCTTCAGGAGCAGCTTCATTGAAGTTTGTTGTTGTTTGTTGGTTTGTTTTGTATAATTAAGGACTCAGCGCTCTTTTAAGGGAGTTTAAGATGCCAGTGGAAACCCTGGTGGTGTAGTGGTTAAGAGTTCAGCTGCTAACCAAAAGGTTGGCAGTTCGAATCCACCAGGCACTCTTTGGAAACTCTATGGGGCAGTTCTGCTCTGTCCTACAGGGTCGCTATGAGTCAGAATTGACTCCACTGCAATGGGTTTGGTTTTTGGTTTTTTAAGATGTCATCAGTGAGTGAGAAAAAAAGTAGGGCTTGAAATCATTCACCTTCAAACCCATCTACTAAAGACTTTAATGGACAGTTTTGCTACCAGTGTATTCAGATTCTTTGACTTAAGCAGGTTACAGACATGGGTGGGAGAACTGGGCTGTAGGTAAAATTATTCTTGCACTCATTTTACTTTAGTTATAGAGCCCAGTATATCTTTCAAAATAATAAACCCTCTTCTTTTTACAATTTTAGCCATTTTTTGCTACTACACTGAGGATTCAAGACACATGTGGGGTCCATAACCTGCATGGCTTACCTGGCATAGTAGGAGGCCTCGCAAGCATTGTGGTGATAGCCATGGGAGCATCTGACGTGTGAGTGAAACAATGGTTTTCCTGACTTGGAGTTCCAGTGGTGTTTTTCTCACTCTTTGAGACATCCAGTGATGGGAGAGCTTTCTTTTTAGCAGTCTAGGCCACTGTTCATAAGCATTTTCCCTATGGTAGCCAGACAGACACAACTAAGAGAATGGATAAATTGGAAGAGGTATTTTAACTGACATTATTAACTTACTTTTTAAATTTACAGTGATAATTTCAATTTCTTTACCTTAGACAACTGTCTCCTGGTAGATAGGACAATTTGACTACCACAATCAGATCATAATGTGCTTGCTCTTTTCCTTGGTCCTACAAAAATGGAGGAGTGGGCATATGTGAGTGAGATAAACAGTCATTTCCATCCAACCTACAGCAAAGAAGAATAAGGTAATATAATGTGGAAAGCAGTTGGGTCTAGGGAATTGAGAAGACTGGCGTATGGTCCCAACTCTGCTACTATTTAAGAGGACTTTGAAAAGTCACTCAACCTCTCTGGTTTCCAGTTTCCTCTTCTATAAAATGAATGAATGGGACTATTCTCTAAGATCTCTAAGATCCCTTCTAGCTCTAACAGATCTGGATTCTTCCCAATGGGGGCATAAGTGTTTAGTTAAATGATCAAAGGAAGAAAAGCTTTCAGCCAAGCCCAGGAGAATGGAAGTGATCAGTTGTCCCTTTTACTCGATAAGGTATGAACAATTTGACAAGAAGGTCATCCACACAAAGAGCTAGAAAGATCATAGAGTCCAGGTTACATAGGAATCCACTCAATTTTTAAAGCAAATTTGAAGAAAAAAATGAAGAAAAGGTGAATGTGTGTTTGAAAATGTCTCAGACTGACCACTTGATTAGAATTGCATAACTTGAAAAGAGAAACATCTCTTCAGTTTTAACAGATTGAAGTTTAATTCAGTTGAGAACAGTACTGAAAAATATTTTAAAAAACTTAGTTAATCATATTTTCTACCAAATAGAAAGTTTGCTTCCTCTTCCATGTGTATCATTGACCCATTTCTTCATTATATTTCCTTTTTCTAACCCTTTTGTAAATTTGGAGAACAATCCCACTGAAAAATATCCACACTTTCTTTTGGTTTTCTCCAGAACCTAACAAACTGTTGAGACCAAACACCAAAGTATTTTAATGTTAACCAAGAACGTGAAAGCATCCGTGAATGAGCTCAGCTCCTAAATATTATTATGAGCACACACTATGCAAACATTTTAAGTGGTGACTAGAATGGAGGAATTCTTGAGCATCATGACTAGACGAGTTCCATAGTTGTAACAAAACACATCTATCTATCTGGCTCTCATAGACTGGACCTCACTGGGCGAGCAGACTTTGGGTAGATCCATGGGTGAAGTCCAGTTCTTGGGTGTGCAATGTTAGCAATACATTCTCAATTTACTCAAGGGAGTCGAGCAAATCTTGGAATGTTCATTCATTTGGGTAAAACTCACACGTCTGACACAAGATAGAATATCCTGTCCAAGAGTCAAGACCATTTATTCACATGAGTCAATTCAGATTATTAAAATGCAAATCAGATTGCCTGATAAGCATAGAACAAGGGGAAGTTAATATTCTTAAAGGATATTTTTGTAAATTTTGTAAATTATGGCAGCCTAACTATAATAATGCTGTTAACAACTTTGTTTAACCTAATATTTTACAAATCTATTTTATTATGGAACACTTTTTATCAAAAATATCTATTAACACCTTGTAAAGGTCTTGGCAAATACTGGACTAAGGACATAAATAAGCAGTTTACATAAAAAGAAAATCAAATGAATAAATAAAATTAAATATTCAACCTCACTAGTCAAATAAGGAGCCCTGGTGGCACAGTGGTTAAGAGCTTGGCTCCTGAACCAAAAGGTTGGCAGTTCAAATCCACCAGCCACTCCTTGAAAACCCCATGGAGCAGTTCTACTGTCCTATAGGGTCGCTATGAATCGGAATCAACTCCACGGCAATCGGTTAGTCACATAAATGCAAATTAAAGCAACAAGTTACCAGTCTTTCACTTATCAAATTGGTAAAGATTAAATGTTAAATAATACTGAATGATAGCTAAAGTAGATAAATTGGAATATAAATTGGTAAAATCTTCTATTCCGAAAAGTATTTTAAGTTATTTAAGACCCTTTACCTAATAATCTCATTTCTAGATAGAATTTATTTTAGGGTAATAATTGGACATGTTCACAAGTACGTTCATTAGAGGATGTGTTCTCACAGTATTTTTAAAATGTAAAACACTGGAAACAACCTGAATTCCCAACCAATAGGACTATAATCATAGTATGTTTGTACAGTGTAATACTCTGCAGCAATTAAGGTTATAATAATCCGTTGCCGTCAAGTCGATTCTGACTCATAGCGATCCTATAGTAGATACAGATTTATATTTACTAGCATAAAAGGACACTTGTAAGGAGCCCTTGTGGCAAAGTGGTTAAAGTGGCTCAGGTGCTAACAGAAAGATTGGTGGTTGGAACCCACCAGCTGCTCTGTGGGAGAACAACGTGGCAGAAGGATGAGGCAGTCTGCTTCCGCAAAGATTTACAGCCTTGGAAACCCTATGGGTCAGTTCTACTTTGTCAGGTAGGTCCCGCTATAAGTCGGGACGTTATTTAATGAGAAAAGGAGTATTATACTATGATCTCATTTTTATAAAAATGCATGTTTGTATTTTACATTTTTATAGAGGTAGGATTTGTGGGAGTTTTTTTTTTTCTTCATTTGTGTTTTCTACTATTTCTACAATGATCATGAGTTACTTGGACAAATTTTTTATATAGTAAAAAAAAAGAAACCCTTCAAATAAAAAAAGAAATCTGAGTTTAGTGCATTCTCTCCCTTGAATGATGAGGCTGAAACACCAACAAACTCTCATTTTCCCACTGTCTGTCTTCCTGGATTCATTCATTCGGTTCAACAAGTATTTATTAATTGCCTGCTGTGAGTGAGGCACTGTGGTAGCATCAAAGGAGATTCCCACATTCCTAGTTCATTTGTCATTCATATAACATCTTTATACATTTCTATTTGGGTTTTTTTAATCACATTCTTTCATTCCCAAATTATGAACTACTTTTTACTAATTTTATTTTTACATAGCTATTTCTAAGATAACATATAAAGATTTACTTTTTAATATTTTCAATGAGTTTTCTCTGCAATATATGCTGGAATGGATTATGTTTAGAAAGCTATTGTATAGGCATATAAAGAGATTAGATTTTCCGACCTTATTGATCATAGTAATTGCCTCTATCGAAATGGGGTGAGAAAACATAGTAGCCTAACTTTGTTTTAAATATTACTCTGTCCTCGATGCCTAGAAATGAAGCTGGCACAGAGCTTAATAAATATTTGTTGAATGAATCAGAAAAGGGATCAGAACCTGGTACCACATTTTAACAGTGTTAAACTCTTTCTAAAGATCTTCTGATCATTCCTAAAAGTAAATCAAAAGGTGGTTCTTGATTAAATACTTGTAAGAATTTTTTTTAACACTGCTCAAAAGTTTCAAAGAAAATAAAAATAGGAAAGTAAAGAAAAATTGCAATAAATGTTTACTTTTGTAATGCTGCACTCTGGCCAGAAGATGACAGGCATCCATGCCATTAGGAAGTGAGATTAGTTTGTTGGTGTCCAGGAAAAACAACATGATTCTTTTGCTTTGGCTTCCTAGGTCTACCACGGCCATGCAGGCAGCTACACTGGTTACTTCCATAGGAACAGCAGTTGCTGGAGGGCTGATTACAGGTCAGCATTAGAAATAAACATCTCACTGTACACCATACTCACAGCATAATTGATTATTAATAAATATGTCAATTGATAAATATTAAAATGCTGTAAACTTCTGGCAGTAAAGTAACCACGTAAGCTCAAGATGAGTTTATAACAGTATTCTAATCACTATGCAAACATATTTCCCTTTTCAGCATCATAAAGTGTCTTTTTTCTCCTCCTCCACCTTCACAGGTTTAATTCTAAAGTTACCCATCTGGGAACAGCCACCTGATGAGGACTGCTACGATGACTGTGTTTATTGGGAGGTACTGTACAGTGTTCTCAAGTCCCTGGGTAACATAAACGGTTAAGTGCTCAGCTACTAACCAGAAGGTTGGCAGTTCTAATCCACCCAAAAGATCCTAGGAAGAAAGACCTGGAGATCTACTTCTGAAAAATCAGATTTAGAAAACTGACACACGTTGGGTTGCCATGAGTCGGAATCGACTCTACGGCAACTGGTTTCAGCAACTGGTAAAGCGTTCTTGAGATGACTCCACTAGTGAAAGTTTTGCATATCTCAAGCCTAGATGTCTGTGTTAAATCTGTGTGATGAACTCCCTACTTACAGAGACAGACTGAGAAATGGGTCCAGCCTAATAAAATCAGAAGTTATGGTATTTTCCAGTGCAGAAACTAGATGAAGAAAAGACAGAATTCCGGTGGTAAATGCCCTTCCACTCCTCTGAGAGCAATAGAAAAGCTACTTATAAAAATAGCAGGAATTCTGAGCAATGGTGTGAGACTTTATACTGTATGTAAAACTAGGAATAAGCAGATATAGTATGCAACATGGAAGAATCTGAATGAATACCCATCGAGAGGTTAATATTATCACAGATGTTTATGAATAGCAAAATAGCAGCCTTCTTCTGTCCTCCAGCTTCTCCCTCTTTATTCCTTTACCTTTTTTTTTTTTTTTTTTTTCTGCAAAGCTTAAGAGTAACAGATGCTTAGGTGTGTTGAGCAGGATTTTCAGAGAGAACAGGTCTGGGGAATGTAGTCAAGGTGGGTAGGATAAATATTTTAGTTCTCTTATTTTTACTACCTCAGTTTTTATTCTCATTTCTTCCTAAGCTTGGATAATACTAAAAAAAAAAAAAAAAAAAAAAACAACCTTTTGTTTCAATACTGACCTCTGACAGGCCCAGTGAAAGAAACTGTATAAAGCGCCCTAATCTTGTTTTTTTTCAAGGTCCCTACTGTGGATGACTCATTGTCATTGAGTCGATTCCAACCCATGTAACATGACAGTCACTTCCATGAACATAGCAAGCACGACCAGCTGGAACTTGAAGACTAAATGCTATTCATATGCACCAGCTTCCTGTTCTATCATCTAGAATCAAGGCAGCACTCAAATGTGAACCAAAGTGGATAGACCGTGGGTCCCAAGGCCCGTGTGAAAATGACTTTACTTCCGGTGATATTTCTTGATACTCAATGATTGTTTAGTTGAAGTTTGTGACTCAAAATACAGATGGTCAGATGCCTTCTATTGAGGACTCCCAGAATGTCCTTGCCAGTGAATAGGGGTAATACAGGGTGGACATTCCTGTGTATATTTTTGCATTCTTCCCAACAGAGGTGGTTACATAGAAATCAGCAATTCCTAACTGTATCAGTTTCTTAACGTAGACGCTAGGTCTTCAGTCCCAAAGATTATAAAACTAAAGCCAATGAAATCACACTTGATGTTAAAAATCTGATAAGAAAAATGAATGAAATATTCTTATAAGTAAAGTAGCAATTAGTTATTTTTGGTAGCTGTGTTTTGATTTTTAAAATGGTCTAGTTAGTAATGTTATGTCTTTGCTTGAACATTCTTGTGCTGAATTCCTTTTGCAAGTTTAATATTTGCAACAAGAGCTCAAATGCTGTCTGATTGAATTCTATTTTGTATAAAATTTCAATTGATTAAATATTACAGTAAAATAATTTATTAGCTTTTGGCTCTCCTTCTTTGGTGGTTGAAATGCCTTTTAGTAATACACACACACAAAATTATTTGCTAGATCTGTAAAAATGAACCCTGATTTGAAAACAAAAAATATCAATAGATGAATTAATCTCTGTTGAAACCAGATGAAATAAAAATGGAAAAGATTAATGGATTTGGAGACTTTCCACTCGCATAACAGGAAGGCTAGAAGAAGAGAAAGGAACAGATGGAGGAGAGAAAATTAGTAAATAAAAGAAGAAAATTTGAGCAAAAGAAATCTTCAGATTAAAAAGCTTCACTAAATTACAAACAGAATTGATTTAAAAAAGACACATACTGTTGTGAAAAAAAGACTGCAGACTCAGACTTTATTATTAAAACTTTACCCCTTGTAAGAACTGCATTGCAGAAGGTAGGAGGAGTTTACTTTTGAGTGCGTTTATAGTTTTGTTTATTGTTGGTGATTGAGTGGTGGAGGGGGGCAGTTGTAGATGATGTTATTATTCGAGTTCATGTTCAAGGCCTAGTCCAGTTCATCAACACTTAAATAACGTTGTTTATTTATATCTTATCTGTTCCAAAAAGCATTTAAGATGGCAAACAATACTATTTATATTAACTGACTCATGTGATTAAAAAATTCAAGTTCTACTTAGATGATCTATTTCAGGAAGTTTTTATTATTCTTTGTTCTCATCTAAGTCAGAAAGATTAGCAATAATTATTAACTGAAATTCCAGACAGCTTGGTGAAATTTGAGATATTTTCAGGCTTCTCCAGCTTTTGTTTCCACCAAAGGTCTTTAAGCTGTTTACTGTGCAAGCTAAGAGGCCTCTTCTGATCTAGGAGAAGACATCGCCAATAGCTCTATTTTGTTAGAAGACACTTATTTTGTGGGTTCTTTTGGTTGTCTTCATCCTAGGTGCTGGGACCCCTTAGGTGGATTGTCAGTTTCGTTTATCCGTTCACTAGTGGTTATGTGTCAGCTGCTGAGTTACCTTGGATGGCAACCATCTTGAGAATGAAGGGAGGCACAGAAGTCTCTGGCACAGATCAGATTTGCCAGATGGCAAAAGATCATTGCCATGGATTGGCACCTGAAGGAAGGGTTTCTGTTCCTCTATCTCTTCAGCAGACAGAGCTTGGAATTTCTCCAGCATCAGGGGTAGAGATGACTCAGTACAGCTGTTAAGCTCCCCTGTAGCTCATGGAGGACCAGGAAGACCAACTGTCCTCCCAGAAACACTCAAGTGGGAAGCCACATCTTCATCCCCTGGGAATTCACAAATTTCAGCAAATTAGGCAATACCCAGGTCCTTATCCTTATTCCAGGGTTCTCTGCAAACTGCCCTCAAATTCTCCTCCAACACAAAGACTCAGTTTGATTAGAGGTCAGGTGGAACAGATTCTTAAGAACTGGACACTTTTTCGTGTTTTCTTTGTGACTCTTACAACCCTTTGAATAGAGTACAGGTTCAAAGTATGCTTGTTAAGTGGATGAATGGATAAATAGTTGAATGAACGAACAAATCAAGGAACACAGCCTAAAGAAGTGAAAGAATTTTTTTTAAATTTATTCAGTTACTTGTTTATTCAATAATAATTTAGTGAGTATCTGCTATGTACCAGGCTCTGGAAATACAAAGTTAAATAAAACAAAGTCCTTCACCTCAAAAAAAAAAAAAAAAGTCTGCAACACAACCAGGAATATAGCTAGTGGATCTGTGATAAAATAAGAAGAGTGCTAAAATGGTCGCATGCCCAAGGTGTGATGGACAAGAGGGGAAGAGTATCTAAATTAAAGTTAGTCATTCAGTGAAAACTTGCCAGAAAAAAAAAATTACATAAAGCACACAGCTAAGCAAAGGCTGAGTTAATACTCAACTGTAAGAATAAAGCCAACACTCTTTCCTCTGTAGAATACTTTGCCCATGAAAGATTGAAAGTCTCCTCAATAATTTGTTCTTCTTTTTGAATATAGACATTATATGTGGGCAAAAGTGAATATTTATGTGGGGGGGAGTGTTTGGAGGGGGTAGGTCAGTTGGAGAGGATAGAGAGTTGTTGGGGTTAGTAAACAAATTCAGGAACTGTCAGATTATTCCATTCTGTACTTCATTTCCCAAAATCGCCCACCTCTATTGTTGGCCACCCCTACATCCTAGGTTCTGTCTTTTTTGGGGACACAAAATCCAGTTTTTCTCCTGGCTTTATTTTGACAGATGAAAATCTTCCAGAATAATATCTATCTCAGCTTTATCCAACCTAAATGAGAGCAGCTATAATAGCCTCCAACCTGTGCATCCTGGCCTTGTTAACTAGACATAGGCATTTTCTAGACTTGATTTGATAACAATTAACAATGTGACAACAATTTAGCTGATCACCTTTTTGACAAACCCTTCCCCCTCTTTTTGGTGCCCATTAGTATGGCAGTTCTTAAATTTAATCCCTACTAAGTATTTTACTATTTAAGTGCCTTTAGATAAAATACTTTCTCTCTCCAACTCTCTTTTCTTTCAATATATCTGTAAAAAGAGATTATATCTACTTTCCAGAGTTATTTTGAGGGTAAAGTTTTTGACAGTTAGGGAGCACTTAAGAAAAATCAAAACAAAGTTAAATTCTCTTAATAATTCTTTATACAGTTAAGGCATTTACCATTAAGTAGGGGCTTTACCATAAATTATCCTGTTTAATCCTTGCACTAATTCAGAGGACTATTAAATGATAGAGCTGGGATTCAAACTCCGAGCTTTTGACTTTGAAATTTATGATTTTTCAATTAACCCCATATGCTTCTTCTAAAAATTAATTCATAAAAATGCAGAGAAATGAATCTCTACTAATAGAATTCAAGTATTTATGGAAGGATTGTGGGAGAGAGATCTTGGCACTATATAACCAGCAGCCTACTCCAGCCTTGACTGATTTACCACAGACCAAGTAAAATAGGTCTTGGCCTTAGGTGTTCTGCCACTACTGCCTAGTCATGAGTATTGGGGGGATGTTTTAACCCCTAAAGTATAGAATTTATTTTTAAAAAAATACACACACACATATTTCTCCTAAGATTCATGGCCCATTTCTATCAATAAAAAAATCAGAATTAATAGCCCTTCAAATTTTGTCCATTTAATGATTTCCATATACTAGTGTGATGGTTGAGATTGTGTGTCAACTTGGCTGGGCCATGATCAGTGTTTTAATGTAATCACTCCCATGACTGAATATACTGTGAGTAGCCAATCAGATGAAAGAGAGTCTCCTTGGGGTTGTGGCCCGCATCTGCATAGAAGCAGATGTTCTGGCTTTTTGCTCTCTCTGGATCCTGCAGCTGCTTCCTGTCATCTCATCTCCCGTTCTTGGGACTTGAGCTGTCAGCTTATCTGCGGAACCTGGGATTCGTCGATCTGCACAGCCTGTGAATGGGAGCCCTGCTCTCCAACCTGCCGATCTTGGGCTTGCCAGCTTCTGCAGCTGTGTGACTTGGGAGAGGCCTCTACCCTGATCCATGGACTTGGGACATTCTAGCCTCTACAATCACGTGAGCTGTTTCCTTGATATAATCTCTCTCTATATATATATATTTATATACTTTACTGGTTTTGCTTCTCTAGAGAACCCAGCGTAAGACAACTAGTTAGATAAAATAACAAATGAAGCAGGAGGTACTTTTCTGGTCACAAAAGAATATTAGTACTTACCTTGAAAATGATACTTTTTTGAAAAGTTCTCTCTTCTGCACAAAGTATAGTTTCAGTGAACAGAACAATATTGCCTCATAACACCAAATAAAATCCAAACACGTGTCTGTTCTGTTCCCAGGATCAAGTTTTCACATCTCTGCACTAAATCAAGGAACTAGGAGCAGAGCTATATCTTACTTAATATATGACTGTGCTTAACACAAGGTCCAGCACACATGCAGTCAGTGCTGAGGGCAAAAGTCTTCATTCCCATCTTGCTCCTGCCTTCTTTCAGTGATTAAAGCTCCAGTCTACTCTAAGGAGTTCATTTGGGTATGTAGGTCAACAGGTTGGACAAAATGATTTATTCTAAAGTGACTAGCTAATAAGATTTTTGCAAATTTTTTATCAACATAAATCCAAATGTCACCCTTTTTGTGGATCTCATTATGTTGTCCTTCTGAAATACAACCTATTAAAGTAGGGCCAAGTGTCCTCAGAAAATACTTGAATATTTTGCTTAGTACCTATTTGAAATAACCAGATTTTCTGCAAGTTTTAAAAATAATTTTATTTTGAAACAATCTAAGCTTACAGAAAAATTTGAAGTAAAATACAAAGAACAACTTCCTCTTGAACCATTTGAGTTTCTGGCCATTTCATCCCTAAATATATTTTTCTTAACCACAACACAATGATCAAAATCAGGAAATTTAACACTGATAAATTATGCCCATCAAGTCGTGAGATCCCATTCAAGTTTCACCAAATATGCCAATGATGTCTTTTATAGCAAAATAATCCAGTTCAGAATCACATTTTGCATTTAGTTATCATATCTATTCAGAGCCCTTCAGTCTGGAACAGATTCTCAGACTTCGTTGGCTTTCATTATCTTGACGTTTTTGAAAGTTATGACCGGTTATTTTGTAGAATGTCCCAAACTTGAGTTTGCCTGACGTTTCCTAATGATTAGATTCAGTTTATGCATCTTTAACAACAACATGGAAGAAGCGAACAAATATGTTTCTCAGTGTATCTTATCAGGGAGAACCAATTTTTGAACTTGTTCTATTTGATCACCTGACAAAGGGTCATGTCTGACAAGCTTCTCCACTTTAGTTTTTTGTTTTGACCTTCATAATTAAATTCCCTCTGTGAGGAAGCAATGTGAAACTATATAAACGTCCCCTTCCTCCTCAGTCTTGCAATTTATTCATTTACTAATTTATAACAATAAGACATAGTACATGATTTTCTACTTTATTCGATCAGTTACATTACAGTATAATCGTTATTTATTGTGA